ACTAATCCCTTAGTGAGCAATGATTCACTATTACACAAGAACACATGGATGCTAACCACATCCTTTCCCTCCCCTTCTCCACCAAAGTTCTGGAAAGAGGACTATTTTAGGCCTTATTGTTTCTACTTTGTCTTTTCACCATCCCCGTGTTTGTAGGGATATTGTTATTGCCCCATTCAGTAGCTCCTTTGCATTTTTACATGGTGTTCTTCTGCATCATTTAAGTGATTAACTCGTTCACTTCTTCATACACCATCTTGCCATAATTTCTATATTCCAGTTTTCTCTAGGTTCATCTTTTCAGTCTCCTCCCTGAATTCCTTCTTCTCGCAGTGGTATATTAGAAAGAGTAGAATGACCCACTCAAGTCCCATTGAGGCCTCCTTCTGGGTCGTAAAGGCTGGAGAGCTAAAAACTTACATATCCCAAACATCCTTGCAGCTAGGACTCCAAACATGTTTCAGATTCTGTCAATCAGATGAACTCACGTGAAGACACGGGGAGAGACAGAGGGAATGAAGGAAGCCTGGAGAAGAATTTAGTAAAGGTGATCAGTACTTCTTCAGGAAGTCTACAACTTTGGTCAAGAGTCACTGTTATTTATACACAGTCTGCCTGGAAAATACATCCACTCCCGTGTTTCAGTTTCCTTGTTATATGTAGATGATTTCTCTGTTAGTCAGCTACCGACTGGTGCATACTGGTGCCTAACAAACCACCAAAAATTTAGTAGCTTGCAATACTAGCTTTTATATTTTCTTGCTCACAGGTCTGTGTATCATTCGGGGTAGCTCTGCTCCAGGCTGCTGATCACCTGGGCTTCAGGCTTCACTTGGGTTCAGGTGTACTATGTGTATCTTCACAGTCTCCTTGATCAGCAGTCACCCAGAGCATGTTCTTCCCTGGATCACAGAAGCCAGAGGGAGAAGCCAAACACACAGGCACATTTAAAGCTCCTGCTCTCATCATGTCTGCTTACATTTTCTTAGCCCAAATGAGGCACATGGTCAAGTCCAAAGTCAGTGGGGTGGAGAAGTACATTTGTGTTCCAGGGGGGAGGAGGAGGGAGATTAATATTTTCTAAAAAATTAATCAAATCTATTCCAACTTCCATTATAAATCTTGAGCTGAGACTATTTCTCATGGTCTCCAGGCGCTGCCTGTAGTGCATCTCCTCTGCTGATGCTGCTTCCAAGGCTGCCTGCAACGATGAGCATGGCCTGCATATTGTTTAATAACTGCCAATTCACAAAATAAAGTAGGACAGGGTGAAGAGATTGACTTGGCTTTTGCAGAGAAAGGACGTTCTTGAGAGAGACTGGCCACCCATGTGTGTGGGTGGAGAAGGACTCCTGTACCTATTGATAGAAATGTAACACGCCAAGTCTCCCTGCACTAGCGTCTAATTTTTTAGGTTCTTTCTCTCACAGCTCCCCCTCTTGAACCTTGAACTCTTCAGACTACAACAAACAAAAACAAAACCCCATTAGAAAAAAAGAATGATCTTGCATGAATACCGATGTATTGTTGGAAAGACAAATTCCTTCATTTTTGCCATTAAAAAAGATGTCAAGGCAACAAATGGCCTGAGAGAACGTTTATTATATTGCTACATTTTTAAGATAAATCACCCAAATAAAATGCTAAACCATCAACATTTTGATGCAGTTTTCATCTGGAAATGCTTCTGATTTTGAGCACTTCCCTCCCCCCACCCCGCCCCAAAGAGTATCATAGGAGGCTCAGAAGCCTCCCACCAGCCTTTATCAGGGCTTCTGCTAACATATATGATTGCTTCACACAAAACCACGAAACCTTTGGAATAAGCTCTTTTTGAATAATCTGTTAAAAAAAATAGGTGTATTCCCTTTTATACATTGACTTATTCCAAATCAGTCTTCCCATTTAACCTGAGTCAAGAAAATATGTGCCTCAGAGCTGAAGGCAGCCCATGCCTAGGACAATTGAGTCATGGAGGACTCATGGCCCTGGACCTAGTATGAACCCAGGGTAAATATACATAGGTTAACGATCCCTTAGTTTTGTTTCTTTACCTTTTCAAGGATTAAATGTGTCACGACCAGAAGGATGACTTTTGCGAACTGGCAGTTTTTAAACAATATGCAGGCCATGCTCATTGTTGCAGGCGGCCTTGGAAGCAGCATCAGCACAGAGGAGATGCCCCACAGACAGGGTCCAGAGATCAAGAGAAATATTCTAAGCTCAACCCTCTAGAAACTATGACCATCAAAACCAGCACAGCTGCCTACCCTCTTACCTATGGAGTCTAATCTTTTTTTTTTTTTTAATAAACCTTGGTATTAAGAAAAAATTCAAGCCTATGCAGAAGTAACAAAAGGTAGTGTAAGAAGCTCCCCATAATCATCACTCAACTTAAACAATAATATATTCCTGTCCCATGTTACACCATCTATATGATTATCTATTTTCCTTCATTCCACAGGGTAATTTTGAAGCAACTCTGAAATATCCTATCATTTTACTTATAAAGATCATATCTTTAAAAGATATACTTTAAAAAACCCAATATCATTAAGAGGGTCAATATATATTAAATAAGTGTGGTGTATACAGTTCTATTAAAGAGAAAATTCAGTTATTTCTTGGTGTAAGACACAGTTTACAACTCTCAAATAACTGCAATAAATAGTCCTCTCCGAGTGTCAGAATGTGTAAACCACAGAGACATTAATCTATAAAACATGTCACTGAACCTATCATGTTAGCTACTCACTTTAATTGGAACACTTTGATTCTATGTATTTTAAATAAATTAAAAACGGGAGATTTTCACATTCTGCTCTGCTGCCAGTTTATTAAATGCTTCCTGTTACTGCTCTTGAATAACCTTCTGGGGAATTATCCATCTTGACTGAATTTTTTTTTCTTAGTGTCTTCATTAAAATTTCCTTTAAACTTTGTTCTTCTTTTGAACAGAAAGAAGCATTTTCAAAGTGGTTTCACCAGCCCGCTGTCAGACTGCAGCATCAGTTGCTATATTAGTCTAACGTTGCCTTTCTGACTAGTATCCAATGTTTAAATCCCAAGATATTTAATATTGTAACCAAAGGGCTTATTGAAAATAAGGGAGTGGTGTGTGTGTGGGGGGGTGGGGGGCTATATAGTTGGAGAGCTTACATTTTCGCTCTAAGCATTGGTGGCTTGCTTGTCCTCTGGTTCAATAAATCATCAATAACACCCAATTTTCACTACCATATGCTACTTCTTTCTTTTCTTTCTTTATAATTATTTGGCCCTTTCTGCAATAGCCTCTCAGAAACTAAGAAGTTGATATGTGCCTTTACAACGAAGAAATATGTTTTCTTAGAACTGCTTTCTGGGGCCCCTGGGTGGCTAAGTGGTTGAGCATCTGCCTTTGGCTCAGGTCGTGATCCCTGGGGTCCTGGGATCAAGTTCCTGCATCGGGCTCCTGCTTCTCCCTCTGCCTGTGTCTCTGCCTCTCTCTCTCTGTGTCTCTCATGAATGAATAAAATCTTTAAAAAAAATAAAAATCATAAGGAAGAAAAAATACATTTACAGTACTGTACTGTATTTATGAAAAAAATTGATATAAGTGGACCTCACAATTGAAACTCACTCTGTTCAAGGGTCAAACTATATATTTTCTTATATATACATACACATATATATAATACGCATATATATACAAATGTGTATATATACAAACAATAAAATGCAGTAATGTCTGCTACAATTATTTTTCTGTGTATTTATCCTAATATGGAAACTTTTACTTTGGCACTTCTTTAGCTTTCATGCTTTTCATACAATTACCAAGACCTCTGTGTTTCAGTAGGGAATTTAAATCTTTTCCTTAATATCAATGACAATGATATATACTTTCTTGAGAAATGAAAATATTTGAAATTAAACATCTAAGCTTAAACCATTAAGTAAAAGTGAACTTGACTTTAAAAAATAATTAGTTCCTCACATGACCTAAACTGATATTTGGCTATGGCATATAAGTCAACTTCTTATCCTGAGGATGTGTTTCACTTATAAATTGAGGACTCTGTTCAAGACTCCTTTTGCATGGATACCTAAGCCAATAGAGAAACCACATAAGGAAGAAGAGATTTTTGCCAAATTTTTGCCAAATGCTTAGAGAAGGAGGAGGCGATAGATCCACTGCCATCCCAAATTAGCCAAGTACAAAGGTAAAATAAGTGGTTTTTTCAGATAAGTAAGATCTCAAAAACTTGACCTCCTATGCGCTGTTGCTAAAACTACTGAAGGGTATGACCCACTAAAACAGGGAAATAAACCAGTGAAGAGGAAAACAAGAGATCTAGTGCAAGACAGATGTGAAGGAAGTGCTGGAGACGATGGGAGAGGAGACCAAGAAAACAGAGGGGGTGGCACTAGAAGTCAATCCATTCAGGTACCTGTAGACCAGAGTCTCTAGAAGAGATATCTTCAAGAGGATGAAATTGATGGAATGTTAATTTACTTGAATTTGTCAAGAGATTTATCAAGAAGGGAAGCATTTGGAAATAAATAAATATATAGAAAATTGAGCAAATGGAAAAGCAAGACATGCTAACTTTAGGGAAAGAAAATGTGAGTGGAAAAAAGCAGTCATGTGGTATTACACTGCTAAGCTTTATCATTTATGTATACTGATAATAATATGTTTACTGAGTATTGATTCAGACTTTACTGAGACCATAGGTGGATGAGAAGTGTGTGTGTGTGTGTGTGTGTGTGTGTGTGTGTGTGTGTGTGTAAGAGAGCAATATCCTGAGTCTCCATGGAGGAAAGTTAATGGGTAATATCTAAAACAGCATTATTCAAAAGCAGCAACATAAACATTTTTTTTTCAGAGATATGCAAAAAACATACCAAAGGAGCTGGAACTACTTGCCTCTGGAAAATGGAAATGAAAAGGGAGGGGCTGTTTCTTCTCATAAGATCTACACAGATATTTGACTCTTGTCTGAGGTTGAGTTCTCTGGAAGGCATTTATTGGGAAGTGTTCCTGGGATCAATGCTTGTGGACAAGACCAGCCTAGTGAAGGGCAAGAGAGCCATTCGTATCCGTCAGGTGCCCTGGGGAGATGGCGAGGTGGAGGGTAGGTCTGGAGAGCAAGCAGGAGCATAATTAGCAGAAGGACCGTGTTTGTGCTCGTTTTATGGGATTTGGAAAATAGAGCGTCTTCAGGTCTTTTAACTTTGCTTTTTAAGAAATGATACATTATTGTCATACATGTGCTTTAATTTGGTGGTTGTTCTACATTCAAGTAGCCCATGGAAACCTCCTCTTTCTACCCCCAAAATGTCTATGGGTCACCAAAAGATCTGAGCATTCTTGCAGTGGCAGGGGTTGGGGATTCACTTCGTTAAATCCAGTGTTTCCCAGATTTGTCTACAACCCCTTTCTCAAATGACATGTTAGTATCTCAAAGAGTATGGTTTAATCAACCTAGTTAATTGTGATTGGACTTTTTTTCAGAAATGCATTCTCCGATCGTGCCACTGTTCTTAGAAGGAAATACGATTCCCTTCATGAGAAGGATTCCAAGAACTGATTGATTGTGGCAAAGGCAGGGTCTGCCTATACATGCCTGGTTGAGCACTGTAAAATGGAAACAAAACAAAACACACCTCAATGAGAAAGAGGGAGAAGAAAAGAAGGGAGGAGGTGGAGGCTGTTTGGAACCAGGATTGAAAGATGTGGTAAGCATCGTGGGAATTAGAAAAGCCGAAAAGGGATACAGTTTTGGTTTTATGTAAAGAGGCCTAAGCTGGGGGAAGGCTCCCTCCCCACAAGGCTGGTTGGGGAGAAGGAGGCAACTGCCCAAGAGGTGGGGCAGGTTGCAGGACAGGCAGCCAGCCTGGGGTTCCAATGGAAGGAGACGCTTGGCTTCACACTAGGGCGGCTGCGTCTGGAGTGGCCTGACCCCGGAGCCTGAGCCCTGCAGGAGCCGGGCGGCCCGAGGGGACAGGGGGGAAAGCTCCAAGTAGACATGGCTGGTGCAGTCAGTCACGATCAGGTAAGTGAAAGCACCCCTGTGCTTTCTCCATCTGTCTCATTTGTTCGGTGAGCTCTCCGCACCCTGGGCTCACTTCACCCTGGAGACAGGGGCTGTCATCGACAGCCCGTGGCCGTGGCCGGGGTGCAGGGGGGGCCGGCTGGGGAAGCCGGGGTCTCTTCTGATCCCCAGATGACCCTCCGAAGAGGACAAACAAGTGTACTTTATCTGTACCCGAGGTCCCCGAGGCGGTGGGACGGTGAGTTGTGTGGAACGGGAAGCGCCCGGCTGTTCAGCAGACCTGCCCCTGTTGGCTAAGGACAGGGGGTGGCCCTCTCCTTTCTATGTGCTACGCATTCTTCCCTTTGGAATCTGAGCTCTTTAAAAGTATTAACTACATACCAAAGAACATTTAGAAAAACAAACAGGGGGGAATCCCTGGGTGGCTCAGTGGTTTGGCACCTGCCTTCGCCCCCGAGCATGATCCTGGAGTCGGGCTCCCTGCGTGGAGCCTGCTTCTCCCTCTGCCTGTGTCTCTGCCTCCCTCCTTCCCTCTCTCTCTCTCTCTCTCTCTCTCTGTGTGTGTGTGTGTCTCATGAATAAATAAATAAAATATTTTTTAAAAAAATAAAGAAACAAAGAGATAGATAAATAAATAAATAAATAAATAAATAAATAAATAAATAAATAAATAAAACAGGGTAGCAACATTTTGGTAATAAGAACAGACAGTTGCTGAGGGGTTAGAGCTCGGGGGAGGGTGTGATGGTTCAGTGTATTTGTGGTAACCTAGAAGGTCTGTATCTTGACTGTGGTGGTGGTTACAGGAATCTACGCCTCAATAAAACTTCATAGACGTATACACACGTGCATACTCACACTCCCAGGTAGCCCCTGTCAAAAAAAACAGTGACATCTAAATAAGGGCTGCAGGTTATTCATAGTGTGGCACCGAGGTCAACTTTCTGGTTTTGGGTTTGTTTGTTTTGTTTTGTTTTGTTTTGTTGTTTTCAGATTTTATGTATTTATTCATGAGAGACACACAGAGAGAGGCAGAGACAGAGGCGGAGGGAGAAGCAGGCTCCATGCAGGGAGCCCAATGTGGGACTCAATTCCCGGATGCCCTGGATCAGGCCCTGAGCTGAAGGCAGACACTCAACCTCTCAGCCACTCAGGCGTCCAGACTTTCTGGTTTTGATCACTGAACTATAGGAACTACTCAGGGAAGCTAGATGGAGGGTACAGGGGAACTCACTTTGCCCTTTTAAAAATTTCTATGAGAGGGATGCCTGGTTGGCTCAGTGGTTGAGCGTCTTCCTTTGGCTGAGGGCATGATCCCAGAGTCCCGGGATCGAGTCCCACATCGGGCTCCCTGCAAGGAGCTTGCTTCCCCCCTGCCTATGTCTCTGCCTCTCTCTGTGTGTCTCTCATGAATAAATAAATAAATCTTAAAAATAAATAAAATTTATATGTGAATACATAACTATTTCAAGATAAAAATATTTTAAAACTGGGAAGTTTGAATAATAATAGCACAACAGAAATCCATTACCAACCACCCAGCTTAAGAAAGACCATTACCATTATCTGGAAGGCCTTCAGTGTGATCCTTCCTGACTCCCTATCAGAGAAAACTCCTACCTGGATGTTTGTATTCATCATCCCTTCGCTTTTCTTTATAGTCACCTCTCATGTATTTACACCCCCACAGAACATATTGTTTGGTTTTGCATGTTCTGGAATGTCAGCTAAATGGAGTCATTCTGCATATATTCTATCACTTGCTTTTACGCTCAGCGAGTTTTCTTTCTGAATTCCATCTGTAATGAATGTAGCTTTTTGACTTGTCCATTGATGTATTCATTGTGAATATGCCACAATTTATTTATTCATTCTTTTGTTTATTAACATTTGGCCTGTTTTCAGGGTTCTTTCCCCAATTACAAACAAACAGTCCTGCTATGAAACATCTTCCACATGTCTCTTAGTACACAGTGCACGAATTTCTCAAGGGACTACACCTTGGGGTGGAATCCTGAGTCAGAGAATTTATCTACTTTTCTAACTTACTGGATGGCGTCAAATTATCTTCCAGAGCATAATGATTGCTGTGCATTCTCAGTTAACATTGGTTATTATCAGGATTCTCACTGTTTGTGTAAAGGGTATCTGACCATTGTGTTTTCAATTTGTATCTTTTTTCTAATTTCTAATGAAATCACTCAGAATAATACATTATTGTCTATTTCTTATTCTTCTGAGAAATACACAACACTTTTGCTCACTTATCAGTTGTCTTTTTCTTATTGATTTATGGGGATCCTTTATATATGATGGAGATTAATCCTTTGTGTTGCAGATACCTTCTTCCAGTTTCTGCCTTAACCTTTTTACTTTCGTTATTGTGTCTTTTAAGGAATGTAAACTCTTAATTTTAAAACAGTTGATTTCATTTTAAGAATCATTTATAGTATATATTTTTTCAAAGAAATATTTATAAATCATAAAATCATAAAGTTATACCTCTATATTAATCTTTGATAAATTTTATAGTTCTACTTTTACTTCTGAGTTTTTAATATACCAGAAATTGTAGTGTAAGGGCTTCAATTTTATTTTTTAAACATATGGGTAATTTGTTTTCCCCACACCCATATATTGAAAAAATATTTCTCCCAGGGATCTCTAATGTCAGCTCTAGAAAAGACTGGTCCCTGGGGCACCTGGATGGCTCAGTAGTTGAGCATCTGCTTTGGGGTTAGGTCATGATTCCGGGATCCTGTGATCTAGTCCCATATCAGGCTCCCAGTAGGGACCCTACTTCTCCCTCTGCCTGTGTCTCTGGCTCTCTTTCTGTGTCTCTCAGAAATAAATAAATAAAATCTTAAAAAAAAAAAAAAGACTGGTCATATTTCAATGCAAAGTAGACCTATTTCTGGGCTCTATATTCCACTGTACTGGTCCGACTATACTTTTTCCCACCGATACCATGCTATCTTAAATGCTTTAGCCCTAGAATAATTTTAATATCTGGAAGTCAAGTTCTCCCATGTGGTTCTTCTTTTTGAGTGTCTTGTCTATACTTGGTCTTTTGCTCTTTCATACATATTTTGGAATCAGCTTGCCAAGTTTCCTCAAAAGCCCAGGGGAATTTTGATGGGAATTATATTGAATTCAGAAAGTCATGTATCTTTAAGTGTATGTGTATATATACTTGACCATATTTTGCAGCCAAACAGATCATTTGTACAGCCTGATACTTCATTAGCGGCATATCAGAGGCAGGAAGTTGGTTTGGTATGAAGGTACATGAAGCCAGTGATTCTTCCCTGGCTCCAGTACATCACTGTAAAGTAATGATAAGGAAGGATAAAGATCCTGTGCTCAAATTGCAGTGAACAGAGTTGGGGTTTGTTTTTTTTTAAAATATATTTTTAAAATTTTATTTATTTATGATAGTCACAGAGAGAGAGAGAGAGGCAGAGACACAGGCAGAGGGAGAAGCAGGCTCCATGCAGGGAGCCCGACGTGGGACTCAATCTCGGGTCTTCAGGATCACACCCCTGGGCTGAAGGCAGTGCTAAACTGCTGGGCCACTGGGGCTGCCCCAGAGTTTTCACTTATAAAGAGCTTTTCCCTAAGTTAGAAGATGTCAGGGTTTGCAATTGCTATTACTTAAGTATGTCAATATAAACAGGTAAAGACTGTATTTCTGGGGATGCCTCCCATGAACACTGCAGCTAGACTTGGAATCAAATGCTAAATAATACAGCAATCAAATAAAGCTTTTTATATCCATCCATGTCTTCCCATCCATAAAAAGTTTGTAAGAATTTTTCAGCAAGGACTTGCTGACCCCATTCAGATGAGAGTGTGTGATCATGCAATGCAGCCCCAGGATGAGCATTAAAAAATTAAGACAAGAGTAGACCACTCTGTTGATAGATCAAATTAATATGCATAATCTTTGCCTTGCAGTTCAATTAGAGCTACATCAAAAAGCCACATGAAGCCCAAGATATGAGACATCTGAAATTTGTCACGTCATTTTCCCCACCACCAGCACCCGGGCACAGCCTCATTTGTCTTGGTCCGTGAAGCTCAAGGAGGCAAGGCACTCTGGCTTCAGCTTTAAAAGTCTTATATGTTGATGTGTATCCCATGACTTCTAAAGATAAAGTGCTGTTTCACTGGCATTACTCACTTGTGTCAGAGGCTTTCTGGTAAATTCTTCAGGCCCTCACCTTGCGGGAAAAGACATCAGTTTGCCACTTCCTATGAAATGGGCTGTCCGTAATGCTGTGTTGTAATCTGATTGTCGGGAGGCCCTGATGGATGATAGTCGTGGACCAGGTTCGATGACAGTGCCCAGAGGCGGACCCTGAAGAGATGCTCCAAAAGTTAAGCTTTGCTTTCATTTGGCTCTAATGTCAGTTCAGTAGACAAGTAGTATCTGACTCCGAATCACCATTTTTCAAATTGTCTAGGTGTTTAATCCAAAAGTGCAAAACAGTTTCTAGTCGCCTGAAGGCACGGAGTGGCTAGGCAGGATTCTTGCACCTAAGAAACTTCTTGTCTAATAGGTAAAACATGAAGGAGAGCCTTATCGTGATTAGACCGTTCAGGAATGTTCACTGAATCAACCAGAGATGGTGCTGGGATTTGCAGAATGATCATAAAGGCAAGTGAAAAGAAACCGCACTAACAGCATTAATGGAGCATCCGTCGGACCATTTGAGGTAGATCGGTGGTCTTCCAACTTTTTTGCATGCTACCTCCTTAAGAGAATTTTTTAAGGTGGTATATTTCCTCCTGTTTCTGATGCCAGTGTGGAACAGTCCAGAGAATTTGCCACTGAGGGGTGGCTACACAAGCAGTTTGCAACGCTGATTCATGAGAATCTTCGGATGCGAAAGAAAACCATAGTTGATTTATTACAGTGCAAGGAAACTTGGGTGTGTTTCTTTAAACTCTGGGATAATGAAACACTAGTTAATATTTATGAAGCACCTGCCATGTGCCAGGCCTTATCCTAAGCTTTTGGTATGGTTTATCTCATGTAATCTTCACCTTATGGAAACATCAGGTACTAGAATTCTCTCTTCCTGTCCAGAGAACTGAGGAGAGGCTTAAATTGAAAGAAGCAAACATGGAACCTAGGCATTTGGCTCCAGAGACCATGTTCAGACCCTCTATGGTCTCCTGACCCTTTCAGAGGCAAAGACTTGCCTCTTCCCAATGTGGTCTCAAAAGAGCTTTTGGCCAGAAGCTGAGATGCGACCTTGAATCTCTGTTTTCCTTCGGAGCTGCGTGCATCTCTGATGGCAGGGCTGCTCCAGCTTTCTGGGCAGGGCCATGGCCATTTATGGTTAGGGTGTACCTGGACTCCTCGGCAATCTGTGGTTTCAACTGTGCATGGCAAGTGTTTCCTTATGGGGCTGGGTTTGTGGGAACAGGGGAAACCTCATCTCTGTCCCCTGAGCCCGAGGGGCACAGTGACATTGTAAAATTGTCAGAATGTCCCCTTGACTGAACTGTACCTACACTTGCCTATAGAATCTGTCCTTGGTGGTGATTCCCTTCAGGACTTCTGGGCATCATTCACAGTAAATCTGACCTGGGAGAGAAAAGGGGGGAAAAAAAGGAAAAGCAAACAGGAGAAATGGTAGCTCTGTCAGTTTTCAAAATGTATAACTTAACGCAGAACCAAATTCTTCTTGAAGCAAAAACTGCAGAGTCACAGCTGTCGCTGGGGGAAAAAATGCAAGTTTAGAGAGCTAAACTCTTATCCTCATGTTTTGATTACAATTGCCTTTGGGCCAAGTTCGCTCATTAGATACTAATACATGTTTTCCATCGTGTGCAAAAAAGGCTTTATACAAATTCCATTTCCCAGAACTCCGTGAATGAAATGGAAACCCCCTGTTTCTGGTTGTGGAAAAAAAACCAAACCAAGACAAAACCCAAGAGCCTCCCTGCTCAGTGTTTCTCCGAGGACCCCCTGGTTTTGCTAGGTGGCGCCATAGGCTCACGGATGGGCCTTTCTCAGCTTGCCGAGTGGCCACCTGTGGGATAGTAGGAATGAAGAGAAGGAAACCGGCTTCAGCTTCTCTGCTTCTGTCCTGGAGAAGACCATCAGCTCCACTGACAGGAGGTGAGGTTCATTTGCCTCTGGCCTCTGTCATTTTAGGAAGTGTTTATTTTCCCCCTTCCCCTTCCTGGTTGGTCACAGCTGGCGGTGAGAGGGTGTGTAGGCCCTAGATTTTGGCTATTCTTGAGGAACATTCTGGGGCATCTTACTTAGACTTGATCCTAAATATGTTTCTCTCTGAGTCTCTCAAAATTTGTGTAAGAACTTGGGGGAAGAAGGACCCAAGGAAGGGTTGATAATTCAGAGATTTGCATCAGCTCCCTCCTAGTCTCCTGAGCAAGGTCAGCATGTGGGGAAATCCCAATCTTCCTTCTCCCCCAAGAGCCGCAGTATTTCCCAGCCTCCACAGGATGACCTTTCCCAATTCATGCAGCTCTCCGGGCCAGCCTGTTGTGGAGGAATGGAAGGCCCCGCAGTGGTGGTGGTGGTGGTGGTGGTGGTGGTGGTGGAGGAGGAGGAGGAGGAGGAGGAGGAAGAAAGGGGTGAGATAGAGCACAGGTTCCAGAAGCCCCGGATGGTCTGGAGAACATCCAAGTACCTTTTGACTTCAAAGAGAATCCCCTTTGTCACCCTGTCAGAGACCCCAAACTCCCAAATTGCTGACTCATTTGCCTGAAGGCATGAAAGACTCTTCTCAAAACACCAATGTGATGGAAAGGCTTTAATTGGAAAAATTGGAGGAAGAATCTATTACAAAATGGCACTGCTCACAGAGCACTCGGGGAGGAGCCAGTCATGAGCGGGATGGGGTGGGTGGGTGGCACGTAGACAGAGGAGAGAGCTGGAATGGAGACAAACCTCATCTACTTGGTGTCTTGCTGGGGCCCCTGCTTCCTCTCCACCTGTACTGCCTGTAACATGGGAGTCAGATGCAGATCTGTGATTCCCAGACTGGGTCCCCCAAGGTTTCCAGGAAAACCTAGTACCATCCCCATATCTTTAACAGATGCTGGTCGGCTCCTGTGTCCTGGTTTTGGTTCAGGCATCCCTGCCTCACATGCTGTGACCTGAAATCTGCTGCATGCCCAGGGTCACCCAACAGGGGTCACAGGTCCCTGTTGGGGACACAAGGCTAGGAGGGGCCTCAGCCAGGTGAAAGATGATCTGCATATATCCCAGGAAGGAAGCCTCACAAACAGATTTGCAGAAACTCCTGGGACACAGCAGGGGCCCTGCTAGCAGTGAGCCTATTTCAGAAAATAGAAGTCTGAGAAATGAATGAGGGGTAGTGGAAAGGGAGGTGGGTGGGGGATTGGGGTGACTGGGTGAGGGACACTGAGGGGGGCATTTGACAGGATGAGCACTGGGTGACATGCTATATGTTGGCAAATTGAACTCCAATAAAAAAAAGTAAAAAAAAAATAGTTTGTATAAGTAGTAATATGCAAAGTAACAACAGGAACAAAAATAAAGTTTGTAAGAAGTATATACATAGTCAAAAGATGGTAAGGGGAACCATGAAAACCCCAAAGTAGAGGGAGAAAAAGTGACAGTAAAAAAACTAATGCCTTTTTATTTGCAGGATGGATGTTAAGAGCTTCCTCCTTCTGAAGTTGCCGTAAAAACATTGATTTCAGCAATTAGAGGAACTCTTAGAATTCCGTGTTTATCTTGATACCTCTCTCTATTTAGACGTTGAAGAATCCACCAGCCTTTCCTGCATTTGTCTCTGTCATAGCGATGACGCCTCCCTTGGCAGGACACATCAGTAGACTTAAGTGCCATGAGTCATATTTTCAATTTTTAATTAAATCACGGTCTAGCTAGGGTTTGATTTATTTAGACCCGAATTAATTTAGACCCTGGTCCACATAAATTTGCATAGTTTATTTTGCAAGCTTATGACTGTATGGATTGTAAAACCCTTTAGGTAGATGACAATATAGGTTGTAAAACCACTCTCTTATCAAGCAACGAGTGGTGGACTATAAGGTCCAAGGGTGGTGTTAACTTTATTTTTGAAACTAGCATTATAAAGGAAGTCTGTTGTATTTCTAAATAAAGACATTTATGAGATCATTTAAAGATACTTCATCCCATATGTTTTCACTCAGTGTTAGTGATACGGCGAGCTTTATTCACAGCTAGTGGTGCTGATTTCTTTTTTTTCTTTCCCAGAATGGTTACAGATGGTCGTAAATCCATACACTGAGTATCTAGCACAAAACTCATCTGCCTCAATCGAATATAGTAAATACTTTTTTTTTTCTTTTAGTAAATACTTTTTAAGCTGCAGAAGTGTGAGTCAGAGAGCTGTCACTTTCCTAGAATTCTGATGGAAAAAAAAAAACAAACCAACATCATGGTTAATTAATGTTCCCCAGAAAGGGTCACAGCTTACAGGAAATGAATCGGAAGGTGACAGGAAGAGAAGTTAGGAGCACAGTGTGCTCTGGCTGAGGGCTGTTGGAGGGGGCCACATTCCTGCAGCCAGAAACTGGCCACAGCCTCCTGAAGAAAGGGTACATCAGGCTGGTGCCTTTAAACCCGGATTTGACCAGCCTGGAGATGTGGGCGTGGAGAGGGAGGGAAGGACAGGGAAGGGTCTGGGCCGGGCGCAGGGCAAATGTCTGAGGGGACCTGGGTGAGATCCACCCCCCCCCCGCCCCCCGCCCAAGGCAGTCCTCCTGCCTTGCAGCTGAGCTGGTCTGGACCATGCTGTCAAGTTGCTTCTGTGGGTGGGGGCTTCTATCGAACTTCTGCGTGTCAAATATGATTGAGTGGGCATGCCTGGCAACTTGGCACTCATGACTCAGTTGAAGATGTGGCCAATAGCAGGTCATCACATAACCCTCAGAAGGGAAAGTGAGTCATATTCATCCTCTGCAAAAGGCAAAGCAGCATGCCCCCCACAATCAGGTGCCAGGCGAGAGTGTAGGTGTTTGCCTTCCTATGGTCACTGACCTGCAGGCCGGAAGAGGTGTGGCAGGAGCTGGAGACCAGACCTGCCTGAAGGTGCTCAGCCTGCCTTCTCCTGTTCCAGTTCATTCTTTACATCGGGTGATAGCCCCCGCAAGGTCCAGTGCAGGGTGATTTCTTCTGATGCACGGTTTGATGGACAGAAAACATTTACAAAGGTCTAAAAATCAAATCAAATCTCATTACATGCTTAAAGGAGCTTATTTGTCAGAAACGAATCAGAATTCTTCCGGGAAATCTGGAAAGGGTGGGTGTCACACTTCTAGCAATTCCTGAAAATCTCCATGTATTATTAATTTTCCTGGGGGGAGGGGCTGTGAGGGCCTTTGTTTGTTGTGATGCCAGAAGCATAGTTGTGTTTGTCTCAAGGAGGTATGCTAAATATCTTTTTGTTTTTTTTAAGTCATTTTGTTGTGCCTGATTGCACTTTTGATGAGGGTCGGAGAGGAGATGACCATTATATAAACCAATAAAATGCCAGGTGTGGCAAATCCCTAGAGACTGGGGCTCTGTGGGCTGCTACTGGGAAGCATTAGCAGGATCCTCTCCCTGCCCTGTGCCTGGCAAGGAAACTGAGGACCGAGTTGGGGATGCAATGAGAAGACAAGTCAGGGTTCAGCAAGAGTCTAAGGACCATCTGCCAGCCCATCAGAAAACACTGGAAAGTCCCATTGGCATGCGATATTGCTTTTGTGAAAATGATGAGGTTTATTGAATGGAAATAAGAAGCCGGGAAACCTGAGTACCGTTTATAGCATATCATGGGAGTTAAGACTTGAGTTAAGAACCCAGCTTCCCAACTAACGAACTGTCCGACTATGAACAAATCATGTTCTTTCTCTGTCTCGGTTCCCAGGAGGACTGGGCTTTTTAATCAGCACAAGCTGCCCTGCTCTAAACTCTCTTCTGAGTCTTCCAAATTTCTTTTCTTGTACCTTGGATATACCCTAACAAAGAAAAGGAGGACAAGTAATTGCTTTTTTTCTAAATCTCCCACTGTCATTTATAGAGTATATACTTTTTTTTTTTTTTTTTTTGGCCAGGAAAGCTATGGTAACATATGACCGACACCCCTTCTGTTATAATCTCCCTTTCTAATGATAGGCTCTTGGTCCTGACTTTTTTTGAGGGCACGTGAGAAGCGAAGCCATCCTTGGCTCTTGTAAGTACATATTAAAGAGTGGACATCATCACTGCAGTTGCGTTGCCAAAATCTAACAGAAAAGACAAAAATGACTATAATACATACTTAATGTACAGCTAACAGAACAAAAAGGAGTTGTAAAAGGGTGCATAAGTATAAGGACGGTAAAGAATGGATGGAATTGGGCAGGGAAACCTGAAAGGCGCCAGGCCAGCCCTGAGCTGGGAGGATATGCTAGGCCTTGCCTGCTGAATCTTTCTGATGGCTTCTTCTTTTCTGTTCTCACTTGGACATGGAAGGCAGGACAGAATGACCTTTCCTGCCTCACTTATTGTTTGTATATACATGTCGCATGGCAGCTCCAGCTGTTGCCATCTCTGTCCTGGATGAAAGGAGACACTCTCCATTTTGTATTTTTGGATCCCAACCCCTGTCACTTTTCCTGAAGTTAATATGCAATACCTGGACTGATTCTTTACCCAGGGTTTTTGTGAAGTCTTACAGCTTTTCAGGGCATCAGAGGGGATGCTGACATCAGGGATCTTGCTCTGGTGAACTACCCTAAGTGCAAATGTCTACTACCTTGGCCTGTGTACATGTATGCGTGTGATTATTGGGGGATGAAGGGAGATCTGTGGAGGTTCCATTGGGGAGCTTCCTGGGTCCCAAGAGGTTGTCTCTGAGAGTTATCTTATGTGTCAACATGGAGGGTGTTTTTGGTTGAGATTAGCATTTAAATTTGCAAACTTGGAGGAAGCAGATTACTCTGCATAAGGTGAGTGGCCCTCAAATAATCAGTTGAAGGCCTAAACAGAACCAAAAAACCAGCCTCCCTGAACCAAGACTGCCTTTGGACTTCATCTGCACAATTGGCTGTCCTGGGCCTTCAGCCTACCAGGCCACATTGTAGATTTGAGATTTACCAGCCTCTGAAATTGTG